ATATGACAGTTTATTCAATAGTGGAAATGTTTCCTAACGTGTTAAAAAAAAACCTACAGAAGATGAAGAGAATTTTCTGGATCACGTTAGAAGTCTGGATCATATTGATGTCTCCTGACTTAAATATTAGAAAACAGTAGTATAGGCAAACATATTCACCTTTGGAAGAAATAAGTAAAGATGTGGACTAAGCTCAGAATGATAATACAAGTAACTTCATGTAACATGTAGAAAGCTTTTAGTTAGGTAGTATTGGGAGCTTTAATTCTTTCAGTTTCCATCAAGATGTGCAAATTTAACAGTTAGCCTCTATTAAGATATATGTACACACACACACACACACACACACACACACACACACGTGTATATTGCCTGCTGGGCTTAGGCAAGTCTTCTGCTTCAGCCTTCCAAGTAGCTGGAACTACAGGCATGCACTACCACACCTGGTTAATTTATTGATTGATCATAGTGACGAGGTCTCACCAAGTTGCTTAGGCTGGTCTCAAACCCCTGGGTTCAGGCAATCCTCTCACCTCCGTCTTTCAAATGCTGGGATGACAGGCGTGAGCCATCGTTCCTGGCATATGACAATATTTTTAAAGGCAACTCACCCCTTTTTCTTGATAATTATTGAAGCTAGGTGATGGGAACAGAAGGGCTCATTATATTATTCTGTTTATTTTTGTATATGTTTCCATTTTTTCCTAATTAAAAAAGTAAAAAACATAAACTATGATAACACCCCATTCGTTCCTTACCAAGAACTTCCAAAGAAATTGAAGTTTGTCAAAAGTCAGTCGTGCCCGTACTGGTTGAAGATCATGGCAAATGATTTCCCCAAACAGTAGGGTGATATTCATGCTGGTTGGGTATCCCCATTGTCATAAAGTCTGCATGCTCCTCACTAGAGCGGCTGCTGGAGCACCAGACTGATGCGTGTCTGAGTCTGCCCACCTCCCCCTTGCAGCCAGCCTGCATGCCTTCCTTGCAGAAATGGCTCCAGGCAGCCAGATGGTCTTGTTCCCTGAGGTTGTTCTGGAAACATGCTATCTTCTCTAACCTGCCCTCTTTTTCAGGATTCCAAGCTGTCTTCTTTTTCAGGATTCCAAGTCTTTTTGATTGCAGCAGAGACAGGTTACATTGAAAGTTTGTCAGTGTGCTTGCTTTTATTTGCAGGCGAGGTGTATTAAAATACTCCTTACACAGTATAAAATTCACCCATTTATTATACAGTACTATGAATATTGAAAAACCATCACAAAAATAAAGATACAGAGTTTTCCATTGCTCTAAAAATGTTCTCTGCTCCCTGTCACTCCCCCATCCCTGTCCCTGGAAACCACTGATGTGATTTCTATACCTACAGTTTTGCCTTTTCAAAATATCATCCAAATGGTCTCACATCATATGTACTCTTTTGTGTCTGGCTTCTTTAGTATAATGCTTTTCCTTTTTCTTTTTTAAAGAAAACTCTATTTTGAAATAATAGAGTTTAATTTAGGCTTATAGAAATGTTGTAAAAATAGTACACAGAGTTCTCATATACCATTTACCCAGCTTCTCCTTACGTTAACATCTCCCTTAGCTAGAGTATAGTGATTTAAACCAGGACACTTACCATACCCAGATGTTTTCATATACAGTACTATCTGCTGATTTCCAGCCTTCTTTCAAATTTTGCCGTTGTCTCATTAATGTCCCTTTAGTTCTTGAAGCCAATCCAGGATCCCATACTGTGTTTAAGTTGTATCTCTGTCCAGGCTCGGTGACTCAGCCTGTAGTCCCAGCACTTTGGGAGGCCAAGGCAAGTGGATTGCCTGAGGCCGTGGGTTTGAGATCAGCCCAGGCAACTTGGCAAGACTTCGTCTCCATAATAAATAAAAAATTAGCCGGATGTGGTAGCGCATACCCGTAGTTCTGGCTACTTGGAAGGCTGAGGCGGAAGGATCGCCAGAGCCCAGCAGGTCGACACTGGGTTGGCCATGAGTGTGCCACTGCACTCCAGACTGGGCGACAGAATGAGACTCCAACTCAAAAAAAAAAAAAAAAAAAGATTATACATAAGTTGTCATATCTCATTAGGACCTGGGATCAGTTCTCCAATTCTTATCTTTCAAAACCTTGATACTTTTTTGAAGAAGTTTTGCTGTAGAGTACCCCTTACTTTGAGTTTGTCTGGTGTTTTCTCATAACTAAATTGAGGTAACAAATGCCATACAAGAGATGCTTTGCCCCTTCTCATTACATTATGTGAGAAGGTAGACAAAGTCAACATGTCTTATTTTTGGTGATGTTAACTCTGGTTACTTGGCAAAGGTGGGAACTGCCAGGTTTTCCATCGTGAGGTTATTATTGCATGGTATTTTAAAGATTAATTTATGTTGTTGAATGTTTCCGCAGTTTGTTCTTTTTGTTGCTGAATAGTCTTGATGGTATGGAAAACCACAATTTTTTGTTACCCATTTATAAGTTCATAGACATTTGGTTTGCTTCCACTTTGGGGCCTGGCACTATCTAACAGGCCTTGGTGTTCTGTTGAGAACCAGATCACAGAGCTCCAGCATCAGACAAGACTACTCTGTGACCACGATAGATCAGGACAGGAACAAGACCACTTGGTAAGCATGTCTGAACTCCGACAAAAATAACATTGTTCAAACCACAAACACGACCAGCCACCCTCCCCTGCTGGCTCACATGAGGGACTGCTGCTTTCTGACCAGTTGCAGCTTTAACCTCTCTTCGTTCTTTCTACCTTTTAGATGAGATCCATTTCAGTATCCAGTCAGAGTATTCTGTTTCCTGGCAGCATCCAGTTCAGAACAAATCCCGCCCCAGCATGACCGAACACAAGCCCAAATCCTATAATAAATCTGTTCTCATGTTCTGAGACGCGGCAGTTCTTCATGGTGTGTTCTCCCTTGTGACTTGCTCAACCACAGTTGCGTTCCTGGTCTTTGGCTGGAAGGCACCAACAATCCAAACAATATATAAACATATCTATTGAAAATCCTAGCTTCTGCTCTTGTCTGCTCTATTTCTCACCCCACACTCAACTCTCTTTACTGATTTCTTGTGAATTTTTAAAAAATGCAATTGCAAATAAGTACTAAGGTCTATTCTTATATCTCCTTCCCTTTCTCTTACAGAACATTATTTGCGTCTTACTTTTTCCCCTCAACATCATATTCCGGAGATCTTTACCAGACTAGAAAGAACTTTCTCATTGTTTTTTTTCTCTCCACTGGTAGTAAAATATGCATAACATAAAGTTTACCATTCTAACTAGTATTCAGAGCACATACAGTTCAGTGGTGGTAAGTATATTCACTTTGTTTGTGCCGCCAGTCTCCTGACCTCTTCGTCTTGTCAAACTGAAGCTCTGTACTCATTATTTTTAAGTATAATTCACATACAATAAAATTAACCCTTGTTTAGTGTTAAATTCTATGAGCTTTGACAAATACAGTTGCATAACCACCACCACCATGATCAAGATACAGAGCAATACCACTGCTCCCCCACCAAAAAATTCACTCATACAGCTTTGTATTCACTCCTCCCCACTCTGAGGACCGCTGTTGTGTTTCCTGTCCCCATAGTTTTGTGTATTCCAGAATGTCCTATAAATAGAATCATATGTACATTCTTTTTTGTAGCAGCCAAACTGCATAATGGGAATGTGCCATCCTTTATTGATCTCATCCCCTACAGGTAGACGCTGAGGTTACTTCTGGTCTTATGCTGTTTATCACAATGGTCTTATCTAATATCTTTAGAGATGTCATTTTGGATATGAACAAGTCTCACTGTAGTAAAAATTCCCAGACTTGGGATTGGTGAATCAAGGGGAAATGTGTTTGTTACTTTGATAGCTTGTTCTCCAGAGAGATTGTATCATTTTGAAAAATTCATTATTTTCCTGTTTCTCCTATGTCCATAGCTCTTTTTTTTTTTTTTTTTTTGAGTTGGAGTCTCACTCTGTCGCCCAGACTGGAGTGCAGTGGCTGCTCCCGGCCACCGCAGCCTCTACCTGCTGGACTCTGGCGATCCTTCCGCCTCAACCTTCCAAGTAGCTGGAACTACAGGTGCACGCTACCACACCCGGCTAATTTTTTTGATTTATTGTAGAGATGAGGTCTCGCCAAGTTGCCCAGGTGGGTCTCGAACCCACGGGCTCAGGCAATCCACTCACCTCAGCCTTCCAAGGCGCGGGATTACAGGCTGAGCCACCGAGCCCGGCTGTCCATAGATCTTTAATCCTCAGTTCTGCCAAGCATTTGGCACACTAGATGGAAGTCAGCCCTGCCAATCATCAGGGTCATCGATCCAATTGTTGTCTCTCTCTGTGTTTTCCTTTTATCAAACTCCTCAGGTATAGACAGAGATTTACTGGATGTGCTGTAAGATCCACAAGTTTCTTTGACACAGTGTTGTGTTAATACTGTTTATGATCACAGTACACACCTTCCTTTCCTTGCTCAGGTCTCAGTTTAGAAATTACATTCTCATAGAAACTATATTTTAACCAAAAGTGGATTGACCAGTGGTTTTCATTTTTTTTTTTTTAAAGCAGCTGCTTTTCAAATGAATTCTTACATCTAATCCCTTCCCCAGCCTCTAAATGGCCCTCACACTTGATTAGAATCTCCTGCAAGTAGATTCTGGGCTATTCCCCAAGAGATCCGCCGGTTCAGTGGATCTGGGGTAGAGCCTGAGACTACATTTCTAACAAGATCTCAGGTGATCAGGAAACTACTGGTCTGGGAACACACCTTGAGAACCACTGCTCTAGGGCCTCTGCATATCCTAGGAGTGCTGGAGAGCACAAATTGAAAACAGCTGATTTAGAGGATGAAGATCTGTTACTAAAGATTTTTGTTAAAGGCGTTCGTACATAAAAATGTATATGTAATATACAAATAATATGTTTTGTATGCATTTATTTTTATATAAATTTTTTGATTATTCCTAAAATTTTTTTTGTGATATTTCTGAAGTTCTCACCTCAAGAATTAGAACTACAACAAAAACCTGATGCAACCTTTCCAGATTATCCCTAGACGACTAATCTGCCAGCTATATTGTGGCCTGAAGCCTCCAACCTCCACACAAAACAAGATTTGCCTGACAATGGCTCGTCCAAGTTCAAGTAAGTCATTCTTAGTTGGCCATCGCCTCATTTGCAGCAGAATGTGAAGTGCCTGGACATTCCTACATGTTAAGGGGAGTGTCTGTATCGAAATAGGTGTTGGGCAAGATTTTGGAGAAAGCCACTCTGCCCACTTCTCTTTTAGGCAAGCCCCTTCTTGGACAGGGCAGAGCTTATCTCTTAATGCTCAGGTTAAGACCATCTAGGACATTCTGATGCTTCTGCCAGAATATTTACTATTGATAATATTTATTTAAGCTTCTCATGCATGATTTGTATTTTAAGCCCCGCCCATCTCTGCTGGGGAGGAACGCTGGGCAAAATGGGGTTAAATTTTCTCCTAAGCTGGGCTCAGTTTGGGAGGCGGAGGCAAGAGGATTGCCTGAGTCCAGGGGTTCGAGACCAGCCTGGGTAACTTGTTGAGACTTCATCTCTACAATAAATCCAAAAATTAGTGGGGTGTGGTGGCATGCACCTATAGTTCCAGCTACTTGGAAGGCTGAGGTGGAAGGAATGCTTGAGTCCAGCAGGTCGAGGCTGCGGTGGCTGTTAGCATGCCACTGCACTCCAGCCTGGGCAACAGAGTGAGACTCTGACTCAAAAAAAAAAATTTTTTTTTTTCTCCTGAGCAGAAATGCTTTGTTGCTCTACCTGACAAAGACCTATGAGTTAACAGATTTGGGCCCTTGGTCTATGGTGAGTATAGAGCCCGCACATTTTTGTAGTTAAGTGACCTTTAGGTGGACGTGTTAAGCAGAGTCTTGAAGATGACATTGAAAGACCAACCTAAATTCTTTTTGCCTTATTTTCAGCTTCTGGATGACTTTTCCTAGTACTGTGAGTCTGTTCAGGTATAACTCTTCCTTCCATTTTGCCCAACCTCAGGAATGAAAAAGAACCAAGAAAGCCTAGTTCCACTCAACTGCAAAACTCTTTGGTGTTCCCAGCCATGCAGAGTAGACTGCTGGGGTCTGTGGGGGAATCCAGAAGCATGTGCCTGACCTCGACTGAAAGTGGGCCACTGATGTTTGTAACTGCAAAACATACTAATGTGCTTTCCTTTAGTCATTGGGAAATGTCTTTTTAAAAAAAATTCATGCCACATTAATATTACTGTATTTTACATCCTATTTTTCAAGACCCAAACCTAGTTTGTCTCTTGTATTTATTTCTAGAAGTTATTCAAGTAGTGCCTTAATAGAAGTCACTCTGACCTAGTAATATAGTCATTTAGTAGGATGATAGTTTCCATTTGGGCTAGAAAAGACCTTTAGAGCTGGGGAGAGTTTTAGAGGTGAACTTTGACATCCTGAAGGATGTTAATAGGGATGGAACCCAGGATTCCTACAGATAATTCTTAGAAAAGTACTTGTACTTTTTCTTATTGAGCATCTTGTTCTTCCACAAGATTAGATCAGATCAGAAACTATAATCTACCCAGACTGAGTTTTTTTTCCCCCCAAATTCTTCTTGTTTGAATAGCTTTGGTCTCCAGGTGGGGCTAGTTTCCACACCAGTTTGTCTCTGGAAGGATGTGAGTTCTGGTAGCGCTTTAGTGTGGTTGCTGGGTTGGTTCTACTTAAGGAGAACAGCGTGCTTTAACCATCCTTATTTCTCTCAGCCTGGTTCCAGAGAGCTCCCGGAGTGGAGATGGAGGGCTCTGCTTCTTTGTTTTTAAGGGTCTGCTTTTCCTCTATTTTTCTAGTAGTCTATGGTAGGGCAGAGAGGAAGGGAAGGGGAGGCTAGATTGTGCCTTAATTAAGAGTCTCTACTCTGGGGTCCAGTGTAGTGTGTGGCTCTGGACTTAGGAGGATAAGGCAGTCTCATCCCTGCCTACAGGGAGTCATCCATATATGAGAAACCAGTAGGATCTGCCTTATGGCTGGGCATATAAAGTGAGGTGATGTTCCATTTAATATTCAAGTCAACTGTCTCTGAACCCTCATCCCACTATCCTTCTTCCTTGCTCTTTCCCCACCGGTGACTGGTTCCACCTCTCAGGAGACACTCACTCAATCCAAGAGTTAGTCTTGGTTGCTATTCCTTCCAGAGGGCAAGACCAGGAAGGCTGAGTAGTCAGCTGAGGCATTCAGTTCCACTTTTGCTGAAATCTTTAGTGCTTTAACACAGGTTGGTAACACAGGTTGGTCACTCCTGGAAGATCTCCGTGTCCAGGGCAGGGCATACCCTGCTTCAGGTTCAGGGCCTGGGCCTGTAACAGGCAGTAAGATCTAGCACTGCCTTCTCTCTGGGGAGCAGGGGTGGGGGGTGTCAGTAAAAGGAGTGTCTTTTCTGGCAGCTTGTGCCGAGCTCCTTCCCTCTTAGACCTGGCTGCAGGGCCACACACTTACCCGACTCACAGGTCTACAGAGCCACAGTGCCTGAGAGAGAAGGTATTAGTCTATTGGTCTCAGCCACATGCTGTGTCCTGGCCTACATGCCTTCCGCAATCTCTGCTACCCGAGGGAAAAAATGCAGCTTCTCCCTTGTCAGTTCCAAGTCTGCTCCTGCTTCTTGTCCTGCAACGAGGACATTTGTTTCAGGGGAGAGCCCCATCTTGTGATTCACATACAGTGTTTGGCATACAGCTTAGGGTGCAGGGAGTCCTCACTGCTATAGCTCCCTGTTGGTCTGAGTCCAGGCAGGAGACTGCCTGGAAGTGTCAGGACAGGAGGGCAAGCTGTGGTCTGTGACCACGATTACTTACTTTCATGCTCTTGTCTATGTTCAGTTCCCTTCTGCCACCCCAAGCGTCTGGAGGTGTCTTGCTGAAAAGTTCAACTCTTGTTTGAACTGTCCAGGAGAAGGTCTTGTATCCAAGTTAAGGGCAGAACATTTGTTCATAAGAGAGGAGCCCTTGTCCTCACTTTCGGTCGCTATACTGAGGGAGACTGGTGGTAGCAAGATTCCCACAAGGAAGGTGAAATTGGTGAGGAAACGTAGGTTTGGGGGTCCAGTGGGCCACAGCTCAGTGCTCATACAAACACGAATTTGTTTTTCCTTGTATGAGAGAAGATGGAATCCTATCTATTAGGCTTTTTAAATCTTCATACATGCCCTGCTTTGAGGGAGGAAACTGAGGTTAGAAAAAGGCAAGCCATGTGATTAAGACCACTAGGCTGGTTGGGAGGCAGAACTGAGATTCCATGTCAGCAGTGTGTGCCTGATGCCCTGCTTCTGTCTTCTCTCCTGTCAGGCCACATGAGAGGATGTCTTCATGGTACAGAAATGATTTTTGTTTGAGTGTCTTAAAGTATAACTTCATGCGAGATCAAATTCCAAGGTTAGGCAGTTGATATGGAATACAAATGTCCAAATGGTGCACTGGATTGATAAAGATTTTATTTTCTGTTTAGGTATGGCAGATTTTCGGAAATGTTTTTCAAAAGCAAAGCACATAGTCATCATTTCAGGAGCTGGTGTTAGTGCGGAAAGTGGTGTTCCAACTTTCAGAGGAGCTGGAGGTTATTGGAGAAAATGGCAAGCTCAGGTTGGTAATGTTTCCAGAACACCAAAAGTCTCCTCTGAATGAGCCATACCAGAGTCTGACTCAGAACCTACACAAGTACCTGAAAACTGGAGGGAAATGTTTTGATTTTGCCATCAACGCAGAGTTCTCATGATTAAGATCTAAACTTCAAACGAGAATGACTTACTGTCTAGATATGTATAGATTGCATTTATTTGCATAACATTTCAGTTTTTTCTAGTAATTGTGTTAAAGTGAAATCAGAAAACTGTAGTTAGCATAATTCTGTCTGTGCCTTTCCTGGTCAGCCCCAACCTCAGACAACCACTGCTCCTTTTTCACCATATGGACTTGTCTCTCTTGGAAAAGGAAGCATACTTTAAAATATATATACTGGGAGTGCCAAAAAAATACGTACACATTCTAAGAGATGCTATCTGTGTATTACTTTTTGAAGTACTTTTCAAAAGTGTTTGGACACTGATGGTAACCACTTTGAGCACCTCTTGTAATTGCAGACGCCAAAAGGTATATATTGAGTATTGTGATTTTAATACAGATTTTTGCTTTCTTAAAATGTGTATACTTTTCTTGGCACTCGCTGTGTGTGTGTGTGTGTGTGTGTGTGTGTGTGTGTGTATACACATATATATATTTAACATATTCTATTTATATATGTACTTTTAAAATATGTGTAGTTGTGTGCATGTATAGACATGTGTATGGACGAGGGAAGAACCCCCATAAACCGGAATTAACTTTTGGAGAGTGGGTCCCTGGTAGTACAGGCTTCTCCTGCTGTGTAAATGTTCTAGGAACCCATTGGTATCAGTGTACCAGCGAGTACACCAGCGAGAGTTGTTGTGAGAGGCTGTGCTTGGCTTCAGTTAATTTTTTTTTTGAGATTCTTTCAGTGCATTTGCCCCTTTCATAATGGGTGATATATAAGCACACCTGCCCACACCGGGCTGAGTGTTCATCAGTTTTTGAACAAAGATGGTATGACCCTGGTGCCCACCCTCCGTATTTACCTGGTCTCACTCTGAGCGACTTTTTTTGTTTTCCCAGATGAAAAAAGTCCTCAAAGGGAAACGTTTTGTCATGGTGGAAGAGGTGAAACAAAAAATGGCAGAAACACTAAAAGGCATCAAAATTGACACGCTCAGAAACTGTTTTGAGCAGTGGAAAAAGCGTCTCAATAGATGTATTGCATCAAACGGCGAGTATTTTGAAGGTGACTGAAGTTTAAATATGTAAGAATAAATACACAATTTTTTTATAAACAAATTCAGGGTTTTTTTTGGTCTCCCTCATATATATATGTGCATGTGCAATTGTGTGTGTGTGTGTGTGTGTGTGCGCGCTACAGTTATAGTCATATAAACTGAGTGTCTTAACTATGGCCATTATACCTCAGTTGGGCATTCTGCATTGCATGTTTTTCCTGGGTATACCTCAAAATGAGATTCACTTCATGTATTTTGGGGCTCTGTGCAAAAGTAGATCAACCCAGAATACCTTCCTGCTTATTACTTTATTTTCTTGAGAGGGTGAATGGGATAGGTTGTGTTATCCCTGCCTTATCATTGGGGAAATCAAGACTGATTTCTCCTAGATCCCAGGTGAGCCCCAAGGTCAGGACATAGGCTGGTGCTCAGGTCCCGCCTCACATCCACTCTTGTTTGAACCTAACACTGCTCTGCTAGCCTGCGCCATCCTGAAACTGCCCACCTTTTTTCTTGAGAGGAAAGGACCTGCGCCACCACCCCAGGGCTCAGGGTCCTGGCTGCCTCTCCTTCCCTGACCCTTACCTCCTTTTCCACCCCCAGGACCTGGCGACTCCTCAGGCCTTTGCCCACAACCCGTCCCGGGTGTGGGAGTTCTACCATTACCGGCGGGAGGTCATGCAGAGCAAGGAGCCCAACCTTGGGCACCTTGCCATTGCTGAGTGTGAGGCTCGGCTGGGCAAGCAGGGCCGGCGGGTCATGGTCATCACCCAGAACATCGATGAGCTGCACCGCAAGGCTGGCACCAAGAACCTTCTGGAGATCCATGGTGAGGGACTCTCAGCCTCATGAGGGGAGGGGAACTGGACTTTGAAACCCATGTCCTGCTGTTTCACCATGACTCCGACTCCCTCCCTCCCTGCTGGATACCTGTCTCATCCCCCAGGATGCTGTTTCATCTCCTTCAGGGCCACGTTGGTGCTCTGTGGCACCTGAACAGCTGCCTTTGGTGATGAGTCCACTAGCACTATTCACTTGGTATTTCCCGCATCCTTGCTACTCAGAGTGTAGTCTGAGAGCCAGCAGCATTGACATCCCCTGGGAGCTTGCTGTAAATACAGAATCTCAGGCCCCACTGGGACCAGTGAATTAGAATATGCATTTTCTTGAGAGTCTAAGTGTGTGCCCATCACACTGGAGAAGCACTCATCTATACAGCTGCAGAACCTCTCTCTGTAAGGGGCCGTTGTGCTGTAGACAACGTCTTGACTGAGCTGAAGGGAGCAGGAGGTCTGACCCATTGGACAGCTGGGGCTTAGCAGACTCCAGTGTGGGGAGACATCAGCATCCTGAGTGTCCCTTCACTTTCCCTGTATCCCCTGTGGGCACTATCCACAGAGGCCATGCTTCTGCTCCGCTCTGCAGCTGTAGGGAGCTGTGAGTTCAGTGCCCTTCTTTGAAGCAAGCCCACTGAGTGTGTAATGTTGGGGAAGTTTGTCTGGGGTCCTTCTGGCTTTCCTCTTCTGTCCTGGGTGACCCCACCCCTGCCCTCTTGTCTTCTGCCTCCTCTCATCTCTTGGTTCTCTCCAAAAATTGAATACATCTATTCATACATGTGCATCATGGGTGAACTAGGGTTTCCCCCAAGGTCGTTTGCTTTTAAAAGTCTACAAAACTTCAAACCCAAGGAATGTATTTCTCAGTGTAGAATTTTTGAAGCAGTGCCCCAGTGAAGGGTGCCTGTTTTTGAGTGTGTGCACTGAAGTGCCTGCTTTGACCTAGGCTCAAGGTCATCCTGATGAGGAGAAGTCTACTGGATCCCATCTCTTTTTTGTGTCCCAGAAACAGTCAGCCACCCATTAACCAAGTGTCTTCCTGGTGCCTATGTCTCCTGGGTCTGGGTTTTCCTCACTTCTCTGCAACATCAGAATGTAGCATGTCACTGCCATGCATAAAACTGAGATGATAGTGCCTATCTTACAGAGCTGTTGTAAGGACTAAACATGACCATATATGCGTATTAGGTGGGACTTTGTAAAGTTGCATCTAATGATGAGAACTCTCTTCTAACTTAGGTTAAAAAAAAAAAGAAGCAAACCCTTAATTCATCAGACCGAAGATGATGTCAATTTTTAGATGCATTGTTTTTTCTAATGTGACACTTAGAAAGAATATAATCTGCCTAAACCATGGTGCTATTTTATTATTCCTTAGTCCTGTTCTTTTGTAATTATAGAAAGGGCTTGTTAAAACTTTTTTAGACAACAATTTTTAGAATTGATATTATTATTTGTTTACATACACAAAACAAAACATGAGCACAATAACTTGTTAAGCTACTTCTCATTCAGGTCTTCTGAGTGACTGAGAGCATGGACACTTGTGTTTTCCACTCGGTGTCATGCTCTGACCTTGGGAGATGGATGGTACAGCATTTCCTGAAAGAATGCCCCTCTGTTATTGCTGGGATTTTTCTCCAAGCTCCTGACACACATCTGCAAGTTTGATATTGGGCCTTTCTTGATCTCACCAAAAGGTGTCAGTGGAAGGGTAATAGGCAACAACGCAAATCCGTTTTCCTTTGTGAAATAGTCCTGAAATGGTTTGTTTGCTGAAATGTCCAGCATTTGTGTTTGCCCAGTTAAGCCACTGAGAATAACAACCAAGCTATCCCACTTTTGATTCATCAATATTTTCCTTCAACAAGTCTGTGTGGGCCGGTGTGGTGACTCGTGCCTATAATCCCAGCATTTTCGGAGGCTGAAGCAGGATTGCTTGAAGCCAGGAGTTCGAGACCAGCCTAGACAACACAGCAAGGCCATATCTCTAAGAAATATTTTTAAAAAGTAGCCAAGTGTGGTGGTGCATGCCTGTAGTCCTGGCTACTCTGGAGGCTGAGGCAGGAGGATTGCCTGAGCCCAGGAATATGAGACTGCAGTGAGCTGTGATCGTGCTACTGCACTCTAGTCTGGGCAACACAGCAAGAACCTGGCTCTAAAAATAAAATAAACTGAAGTATGAAAACTAAATTATCTTGTACATGTTTAGACATGGAGACGATTGCTTTTGATTTTACTAAATTCTGGACTTGCTTAATGTGTACTTTTTAGGTAGCTTGTTTAAAACTCGATGTACCTCTTGTGGAGTGGTGACTGAGAATTACAAGAGTCCAATTTGTCCAGCTTTATCAGGAAAAGGGTAATTATACTTCACTACAGAATAAGTATATGTTGTTTTATTCCTTAAGTTGAACATAAATGTGAGGAAATTGAACATTAATCAAAGATTCCCATAGATATTTATGAACAATAAGACTAGACACAGAATAGCTGTGTGATAAAAGACATAATTTTCTCACAACATACAGTAAGTGAAAACCACAAAGTGCCAAACTATGTACAGCTTGATCCCAATTTTATGTAAATGTACGTGCGCGTACACACCACACACACACACACACACACACACACACACACACACACACTCACACACACACATACACACTCCATGTTTGTGTCCTTGTATGTATTATAGTTAAAAGACCAGAAGAAAATACAATAAAATGTTAACAGGGATTTTTAGGAGTAGGGGGATTATGAGTAATTTTTGTTTCTTTTTTATATCTTTCTGAATTTTTCCAACATTTCTGTGATGAATATGTACTATTATTAGAATTAGGAAGCAATTTGGGAATAGATTCAGAATACTGAGAGAATTTCTACTGGGCCATTTTAAACAGTATAAATTATATAGGTACTATATAAATGTCATTGCCAAAGATTCAAATGATGACAGGCAAATCATGAAGCCCCTCCTTGCTACAGCACCCGGCTACTCTAGCCTCTTCCACACACAACTTCCCTCTCTGGAGGTACAAGCACTGGTAATTAAGGGCTTGGGATCCATTCATCTAGTCCTCTTCCTGGCTCCGGTTGTCTTAAGGATCACATCCTCTTCTAAGTGAGCATGTGTTAATTAGGAGTTTTGTATCACATACTGCCAGGCAAATATACAGATTTATTGGGTTATGTTGTTTCTTTGTTTTTGGATTATGCCGATGACATTTTTTCTTTTCTAATATCATTTACTTCAGTGCCCCAGATCCAGAAACTCAAGATGCCAGAATCCCAGTGGGTAAACTTCCCCGGTAGGTAGAAACTTTGATTTGTATTTTGTGTTCTAGGTTGCAAAAAAGGAAAATTAGAATCAAAACCTAAACTTTTTTGGTGAGTTGCTTCTTAAATGCACAAATATACAAACTAGCCTTGACCTCTCAAACCAAAACCAAAAGGATGAACCAAACCAGGGTGAAAAGCACAGTTTCTTTGCAGTCCCTTTTTTGCCTTGTATTGTGGTGGAATCTTTTGAGGTCTGGAATGTTTCTGAAATTGACATACGGCAGGTGGTTATCCAGTGTATAAAAAGTAGAGACGCTGGCATCCTGTAACTGGTCAATAACACCACCAGTATTACTAATCCAGAGTTAGGGGGGCAATAAAAGGTTTTGCAAAGGTGAAGTTATTTTTGTAGATTTAAAAAAAAATTAGGAAGATTTTTATGCCAATTTTTCAAAAACTAGATTTTAGAAGAGCACTAATTCCATGAGATGTTGATAGGCATTACTTAAAACAAAAAAAGATATTATGTACCCAAACAAATATGGAAACATTAGACTAAACAAAGTTAAAATAAATTTGCTTTACTGCAGGACTTCTCAAAGTATTAATTGGTTGAAATCCATTGTTGGTTTCTTAAAAGTGGTTATAGGCTGGGCATGGTGGCTCAGTGGTTATAGGCTGGGCATGGTGGCTCAGCCTATAATCCTAGCACTTTGGGAGACTGAGGCTAGAGGTTTGGCTGAGCCCAGGAGTTTAAGACCAGCTTGGGCAACTTGGTGGGACCTCGTCTCTACAGTTAGTCAAAAAATAGGCTGGGCGTGGTGGCATGCGTCTGTCGTTCCAGCTACTTGAAAGGCTGAGGCTGAAGGATCAACTGAACCCAGCAGGTCGAGGCTGCGGTGTACATGAGCTTGCCACTGCACTCAGCCTGGGCAACAAGAGTGAGACTCCAACTCAAAAAAAAAAAAGTGGTTATAATGTGTAGATTAATGCTTCACTGACTTATTTAACCACAGAACTCTTTTTATTTTTTGTATATATGAGTTTTCATTGCTAAAGTTTCCATCTGAAAGAATAGGGAGTCCTGAGGGATTCCTATGATGTAGGAGATTAATGTGATGAACAGGGTGTTGGGGGAAGTGATTTTGGGAGGTGTGTGGAACTTGACCCAGAGTAGGAAGGAGTGAAAGAGACAAGGGTTTTTGGTAATGTACACTGAGCTTGGCTGCAGACTGGTCCAGAGAGGGGTGAATCTAAGAGAAAATGAAAGGAGGTGGCTGATGAAATTAGGGGACGATTAGGGTGTCGGAGGCAAATGTCAGTCCAGGATTACTCCCGGGTCTAGGTAACTGTGAGCACAGCTGAGCCTAAGAGTATGATGAATAACTGGGAAAGAGAAAGCTGTTAGAAGGAAAATGCCAAGCATAGCTTAAGCAACATGTCAACACACTAAGTCAGTGAACACAGGCAAGAGAAAAACTTAACAAAAACAGTTAAACTCCATACTTTGTAGCCAGGGAAAGTTTACACGAGCTGGAAGGAAGGGGACAGGAATAAGGATCCAAGGTGAACCATCTGGACTGACTCAGTTTGGAGTGGCCCCTAGCCTCCCTCTGGTTCACTTGGGCAGACCTGGTAGAGCCTGGCTCCAGTTGGCTTAAGGATCTCGTTCTTCCAGGTGTGAAGTGCCTGGGTGTGGGGGCTTACTACGGCCTCACGTCGTGTGGTTTGGAGAAAACCTGGATCCTGACATTCTGGAGGAGGTTGACAGGGAGCTTGCCCTCTGTGACTTATGTCTAGTGGTAGGTCACGTCCTTTCCCAATCCTTGGGATTTTCTGAAACACTGAAGACTGTCTGGAGCTTGCTATTGTTTCCATCCTCCCTTCCTCTCCCCCTGCCTCCCTCCCTCTACTTCTTCTGTCCTCTCCCTCTCCTTGCTCTTTTTCCTTCCTCTCCTTAAAATACGTGTTGAGAGGTCTTGTATCCACAGAAAAACTAAGAAACAGTGAATAAGAATTGATCTTAAAATATAAGGTGATGCAAGACCATGTTTTGAGCATCCCAGACCCTTCTCCCTCACCCCCACCAAAAAAAAAGGAAAATATTTTTGGGTCAGATTTTTAAAATAATACATGTATTTAAATTTAATTGAGAAAATGCAAAAACATATACAATTATAAAGAGAAAATTAGAAATCACTCATAATTCCACCATCCAGAAATAGTCACTTTTAGCAGTTTGGCATGTTTTCTTCTAGATCAGGGTGAGCAGACTGTGGCCTGTGGGCCAAATATGGCCTGCTACCTATTCTTGTAAATAAAGTTTTATTGGAACACAACCATGCTTCTTCTTTGCACTGTCTGTGGCTGCTTTCACACTACAATGGCAAAGCTGAGAACTCATGGCCGAGACTGTATGGCCTGCAAAGCCTAAAACATTTACTGGCCCCTTTCAGAAAAAGTTTGCTCACTCTGATCTAGATCTTTTCTTATGCAGATGTACACATATTGATTAAAATTCAAAAATGAGTTCATGATGTATACTCTGTTTGGAAACTGCTGGAGTCAAGTGGCAATTCTCTTAGCATATTCTGTGTCAGTACATCCAAGTTTATGTCATCTTTTAATTGACTGCATGATGTTCTATATATAGGTAGAAAATGATGTATTCAGTGAATTCTTTACTGCTAAACATTTGGGCTATTTCAAGTATTTATATTTTAAGCAAATATGTGGTGAATATTGTTAGATATAAATCTTAGCATGTTCTTCAAATTATTTCCCTAGGACAAATTTTCTAGAAGTGGAATTAATTGAACAAATTGTGTACATGTTTCAGAATTTTCTTAATATGGTTTTAGAAGCAGAGGCACTTTCTCTTGGTGCATATTCATTCAGGTAGTATTCACTGAGTACTTCCCAGTGTCAAGTATAGTATCAATCAGTCTTCATGATGGATTGTTAAATGAGAAAAGCTGGTTTACAAAACATGTTCCATTCCTGTAAGTATGTTTATAAGCATATATTTATAAGAAAAAACCCCAAAAGGTTATACATCAAAACAGTAACAGTGTTTATCTTGGGATAATGGAATTATGGATGACATGTATATGTTTTTTCTTTGTGTTTTCTAACTTTAAAAAAAGTTATGGGTCATTTACATAATTTCAGAGAGCAGAAATAAGAACAGAACTACACCCCAAAACATGTTGATTGAGACCTTTCCTCCCACTCTTCATAACTCTCCTTTTCATATTATGTGTTCTTCCCAGTTTTAGTGATTGGCCGAAAAAACACCTCTAACTTTCTCTTGGCCCCTGGTCTTTCTCCATTTTATCTCCTCCAGCTTGGCTTTCCTTATACCAGCAACCACAGACCTGCCTGAGTTTTTGTATGGTTTTCTGGGGGGGAAAAACAGCCCTTTCTCTCCTTAATGTAGCCATTTGTCCATCTCCATGTGCTTGTCTTGTAGGTCGGCACTTCTTCTGTGGTGTACCCAGCAGCCATGTTTGCCCCCCAGGTGTCTGCCAGGGGCGTGCCAGTGGCCGAATTTAACACAGAGACCACCCCAGCCACAAACAGATTCAGGTACAGGGATAACCTGGTGGGAGATGGGAGGTGTTGGACAGGTTTGGACACAGTCATCTAAACAGAGTTTACCTACTGTTGTAATTTTTTAAAAACGACACAGGTTTTATGTTTTCATGTTTGGGCTATAGTTGCTTTTATGGAAAAACACAATATCATTCACTATAGACTAAGGTAGCTATGTCTTTTTATGTGGGATTTGCCATAGGGCTTTTGCTTTTTCACATTTTGAGAACTCTTCTTGCTTCTTGAAGCTTTGTTTTCCATTTGTATTTTTAAAGTCGGCTAAAGTATTTTAAAATTGATGTAAGTCACCAGAATGCTTATCAAATAGGCCAGGGAAATGTTCATGTAGAACTTCATCACCTGCTGTTCTTACTGTGTATGCTCTGGGCAAATTTTTCTTTGGTCTAACCACCAAAAATATTTGTATTTGTTACTATATTATGACACTAATCCTGCTTCCCAAGTTTGTGTAGAAAGTGTAGGTATCTTTTTGCAGCAATTGACAAATGGATCTTAAGATTCATATGAAAGGCAGGGGACTCAGAGTAGCCATAGCAAAATGAAGAGTGAAGTTGAAGAACTCACAATTTCCAATTTTAACACTTATGGCAAACGTACAGTAACCGAGACAGTGTGGCACCAGCATAAGGATTAGCATATAGAATCAATGAACTGAATTGAGAATCCAGTAAAAAAAAACCCTCACCTTTATGGTCAGTTGAGTTTTGAAGAGTGCCAAGGCAGTTTGGTGGGGAAATATAGTCTTTTCAAGAAATGATGCTGGATAAACACATGCAAAAGAATGAAGTTGGACCCCTTTGTCACCCTAAACACAAAAAGTAACTCAGAGTGGATCATGGACCTAAATGTCAGAGCAAAAACTACGAAATTCTTAAAAGAAAGCATAGAAGTAACCCTTTGTTACCTTGGGTCAGTTAAAACTTTCCTAGTTATAACCCCAAAAGCATTAGTAACATAAGAAAAATGGATAAATTTGACTGTATAAAAATTTAAAACTAATGTACTTCAGTGGATACCATCATTTAAATTAAAATACCACCCACAAAATGGGAGAAAATATTTGTGGCTCTAATATTTGGCAAGGGATTTGTATCTAGAATAAAAGAACTCTTGAAACTCAATAATAAAAAGATAAATAATCTAATTAAAAAATAGGCCAAAATATTTGAAAGGAATTTCTCTAAATATATCCACATGACTAGCAAACATATTGAAATGATGTTCAACATCATTAGGCAATAGGGAAATACAATGAGATACCACTTCACAACCACTAACATGGTCATAATTTTTAAGATAAAGGAAAATAAGTGTTGGTGAAGACATTGGAACCCTCATACATTGCTGGTGGGAATGTATAGTGGAGCAGCTACCTTGAAAAACAGTGAGTTACCATATGACCCAGCAGTTTCAGTCCTAGAAATGCAAACATACGTTTACACAAAAAATTATACACAAATGTTCCTAGCAGCTTGTTGATGGAAAAAGTGGAAGTAACCTAAATATTCATCAACTGATGGATAGATAACCAAAATATGATAAGTTTGGACAAGGGACTATTTTTTAGCCATAAAAAGAATGAAGTACTGATACATGCTACAATATGAACAAACCTTAAAAACATGCTAAGTGAAAGAAGATAGTCATAAAAGGCCATATATTGTATGACTGCATTTATATGAAATATTCAGAATAGGCAATTTAGAAGGTGGATTAGTGGTTGTTTTAGACTGGGAAGTAGAAAGGAATGTGGAGTGAGTGCCTATGGGTACAGGTTTTCCTTGGGTTGATGAAAATGTTCAGAAGTTGATTATGGTGATGGTTGTACAATTCTGTGAATATACTAAAAAACACTAAATTATACATTTTAAATGTGTGGATTGTATGTGAATTAAATCTTAATAAATCTGTAATATAAAAAATTAAGATCAGCCTAGGCAACATGGTGAGACCTTGTCTCTATGAAACATCGAAAAATTAGCTGGGCGTGGTAGCATGTATCTGTAGCTCCAGCTACTCAGGAGGCTGAGGTGGGAGGATCACCTGAACCCAGGAGGTTGAGGCTGCAGTGAGCCGTGATCTTGCCACTGCACTCCAGCCTAGGTGATAGTGTGAGACCCTGACTCAAAAAAATAAAAAAATAATTAAATTATCTTCTAACTTATCCAATAAAAAATAGCCATTGAGCCAGGCTCGGTGGCTCAGCCTGTAATCCCGTGCCTTTGGGAGGCTGAGGTGAGGGGATTGCCTGAGCCCGCGGGTTCGAGACCCGCCTGGGCAGCGAGACCTCATCACTACAATAAATCAAAAAATCAGCCAGGCGTGGTAGCGCATACCTGTAATTCCGGCTACTTGGAAGGCTGAGGTGGAAGGATCACAGGAGCCCAGCAGGTCAAGGCTGCGGTGGCTGGGAGCGTGCCACTGCACTCCAGTCTGGGCGACAGAGTGAGACTCCAACTCAAAAAAAAAAAAAAAATAGCCATTGGACCTCCCACTGATTTTATTATGGCACACATGTATAGCAACAGGGCCACTTAGCATTATTAAAAGTAATTTCAGAGCAGGTGATTCAAGCCTCTTGTCTGCTTGAAAGACCACCAGAAAACTCCAAGAGGGATAAACTTCCTGAGGTGGGATAGGAGCTACATCCCCAGTTGGATTATTCTTCTCGTAGTTTATTTCCAGTCTTCTGGTCTCCATCTCAGCCTTGATGATTATAAAGAATTAAAGCAAATCATCATCACAGAAAAGTAAGAAAATGCAGATATAGTGAAAAAGGAGAAAATAAAACAGGAGTATTTCCACACCCAAGTTCAGAGTTGGCCTCCACCTCCTGTGCCACAGACTGACCAGCAGCGGCTTGGCATCTGCATACGGCCATGTCTTCATGTAAGAGAAGACTGAACTTGGCTGTCCTTCCTGCAAATTCAGAAGAAGCTTTTGGCATGTAATATGAGATTGGACAGTTAAGTTCATGAACTTATCCTAGAAAAAGTGCTACATACCTCAGTGCTGAATATCACTATAGTCACCTTTGAAGCACTCCCCTTGGGAAGCTATGCACTGATGCCAGACCTGGTCCACCCGTCAAAGCAATTTTGAAACTATTTTTTTTTTTTTAATGGCCATCAGAGCTGTCATCACGAGAATGTCAGTTTGAATTAGAGCAATGAACAAACATTACATTTCTTGTTAAACTTGGCAAGATTGGAAGTGAAATCAAGAACGTGTTAGTCCAAGTTTATGGGGATAGGATAATGCCATGGAGAAAATGTCAGTGGACAAATGAATTAAACGTTTTCCTAAGGAGACAGAAAGCATCAGAGAGGTTAGGATGGCTAGTCACGAGCAGAACTGATGAAAATATTGCAGAGATTTGGGGAGTTGTATGTCAAAATTGTTGGCTGACTGTGAGAGAAGCACAGCAGATCAAGTAAACATTGATAGAGAAACAGGAAAATCTTACCTGATAATCTTGGTGTGAGAAAGATGTGTGTAAACATCTGTCTATAGAAATGTTAAATGTACATGCTTGTGATGAAGCTATTTAGCTGCTGAGAATTTATCCTACGAACATACTTCATTTAAGTACATGAGGATGTTCACTGCTTTGTTCTCTGTAAAAGCAAAATGATTCAAATCCAAACAACTGAAGAAGTTTACATAAAGTGTGGGACAGCTTAGTACAGAACACTATTGAGTTGTTAAAACTGTGAGGTAGATCTGTGTAAAGCAAGAGAATAAAATATGCAATTAAAGTGAATAAAGCAAATTGGAGAGCAATTTGCAGAGCAACTTAGAGAACAAGTTGAAGAACTTAAGGATATATATGTGTGTATGTACACTTGATCTATTAAGAGAATTTCTAGAAGGACAATCAAGAAAATAATAAAAGCAGTGATCTTAGGTCTAGGAATGGAGAGTGTTCCTAAACGATGAGATAACAAATTGTTCTGTTGTTTTGAATATTAAAAAAAAAAAAGAAGGGTGTGTGTAAAAATGATCCTGAAGGAGCTCTTGCATCATGACGATGCATGAGCTCACACAGCATTGTTATGAGGGAGTTTTTAGCCAGAAAACAAATAACTATATTGGAACATCCTCCCTACTCACCTGATTGGCCCCCAATGACTTTTTTCTTTACCTGAAGATAAAGGAAATATGAAAGGAAGGCATTTTGATGACATTCAGGACATCAAGGGTAATCTGATGACAGCTCTGATGGCCAGAGAAAGAGTTCCAAAGTACTTTGACAGGTGGGCTAGGCATTGGTGTCAGTGCATAGCGTCCCAAGGGGAGTACTTCGAAAGTGACCATAGTAATATTCAGCAATGAGACATGTGGCACTTGTTACTTGTCGGATGAGTTCGTGAACTTAATTGTCAGGCCTTGTATATTATTTTTGCTCAAGTCGAGCCTCCTTAAACCACAGACCAGCTTCAGCAGCTGCTGTTTCTTCAGCCAGAATTCTTCTGCTTCATGTTGTCTTGAAACCCTGTGATGTCTTCGTTCAGACAAACAGGCTGCTTGCTAGCTAGAAACTCTTATCAATTTGTCAGGCTACTCACTGACCAGCACTGATTACAGAACTGTCATCTGGTTTTGACTTTTTTGGGGAGCACCTTCTGTGGGGCTGCCTGTAGCACTAAGTCAGAGGATTTTCCCAGAAGATTGTAACTGATCAGTGAAGCTAGCTGTGCTTTTATATCACAGTCATCAAAGCTGACATTTAGAAGAGAGGCCAGCAATCATGGTGTCTTATTCTACTCAATATTTCAAATGGGGAAAATATCTTTAGAGTGACTGAGAGTAGTGTTTAAACTCACAGTTTAACAATGGCAGAATTTTCTCTTATATCTCGTGTTTATCAGATTCTGATTGAACTCTATCCTAGGTCAAGGGTCAGCAAACTGCTGCCTGTGGGCCAAATTTGCCCACCACCTGTATTTGTAAATAAAGTTTTATGGGAACAC